GGTTCCGTGAAGAATGTAGGCCACTAATTGGATTAGATGGTTGTTTTCTCAAAGAAGGGGTAGCTTCTGTCCGCGGTTGGGAGGGATGTAAATGACAATATTTACCCGATAGCAATGGCATACGTAGAAATTGAGAGGTTTGACAATTGGGATTGATTTCTAAATTTGTTGTTGAGAGATTTGGGTGAACCTCGGATGAGGGCTTGGGCCTTTATAAGTGATCAACCAAAATGATTAGTTGAGGCTATTTGGAAGTATTCCCTGAACGCTGAGCATCGGTTCTGTCTACGCCATATGCATAATAACTTTAAGAGTAAGTACAAAGGTATGGAGTTAAAAAGGTTGTTTTGTTCAGCAGCTTCAACTTATAATGCAAACGAGCATAAATCTACGATGAAATAGATTTTAAAGGTTGATCCAAAGGTTAGTGAGTCAAAGTATGCGTTTGAGTGGTTGGCAGAAATTTCAGAACATCAATGGGCCAGGGCGTATTTTCCCACACAGACCAAATATGACGTTCTCGTGAATAACATTAGTGAGTCTTGGAATTACTACATAATGCCTGCCCGAGATCTTCCCATCATAGAGATGTTTGAGTGGATTCGAAGAAAGTGCATGACTATAATACAAGTGAAGAAAGAAGGGATGATTAAGTACAATGGGTAAATTTGTTCAAATATTGTGAAAAAAATTGAATTGCAACGGAAGGAAACCGAAATTGTTATCCTTGTTGGGCTAGAGAAGACAATTATGAGCTAATCCATTAACAGAACAACCATGTTGTACAACTTCAGACTAAAACATGCACGTTTGGGATGTTTCAGCTTGTAGGATATCTATGTTGTCATGCCATGACAGCTATTAGCATGCACAGACAATACCCCTTTCAGTATGTGGACATGTATTTCAGCCGGGAGTTATATGTGAAAGTGTACAGTTATATGATTAATCCGGTCCCCAGAATGCATAATTGGGAGGAGTCATCATTAGGGCTAGTTGATCATCCGATCATTAAGAAAATAACGGGGCGGCCAAAGAGATTGCAGAGGCCTGATGCGAACGTTGTCAAAGAAAAAGGTAAAACATCACGGCGAGGACTCACACACACCTGTGCAACATACCTTCAGCATGGCCACAACAAGCGGAGCTGCAAGAACCCTCCACATCCAAATTCACGATTCTAGCAGGTGCGCTCTATAATAAATTACTTTGATTATATAAAACATGGCTTAGGCAATTGCATACATTTTGAATTTTGGTGTAGTTGTTGTGCGAATGAAATGTGCAACACATTTGTTTTTTTTTTTATGCATTGAATGCGAAGACTTATAGTTTCTTTTGTGCAGAAATCAATGGTAGATTCAGGTGTAGCTAAAGAATCTCAAAGCTCCCAGATCCATCTAGACACACCACCAGCCAATCAGGTATGTCTCCAATAAATATCACTTAATTTCTCCCAAGTCTTTATATTTTTATTTTTCAATTTCGCTTGGTTTAGGGTTGCCCGGAAAAAAGACCTACATCAACTCGGAGATCAAATGCTACAACTTCCCCTTAGCTATGTTACACTTAAAGTTCATCGATTTTTAAGTTTTTTCCATGCACAACTAAAAACGCTACCTGGAAATGATGTGTGATAGGTTGGGATTAAGTTTGACATAACTATGGTTTACTTTTTGGGGTCTGTAACTATGCGGTATTTTGGTCCACTTTTTCATGTTGTCTATGATGACCATTGTCTACTTTTTGGGGTATGCCTGCACGTTGACTTTTATGGGTTATTATGCCATTCTTTTTATCTAATGTTGGATTCAACCAATGAATTTCTTATGCTCATCTTACTTTCAACTTGTTAGAATTTATTATGTATTGTTTGCTAATTTTATAGATTTCGATTTTATTAGAGGGATGAATGTCATTGTTGCTGCAAGTATTGTTTTCATTATTGTCATTCTTGTTTGTTGTTAATGCAAAAACATAAACATCAGCACCTAGCAGGTATACAAGCAACTTGTAGCGATTGGATATTATATTACTATGATAAGACTAATGCATTATTCCTGTCATCCTAATATTTAAAGAAATAGACCTTGGTAACCAAATTCAAGTAGACATGGATTAAAAATTAGTTATCAATCATCAAGGCAAGCAGATGATTGGCAATGCAATTTGGCTCACTGGCCGACAGAAACATCACCAATAAAAAAAAATTCATTGCAAATGACTAGACTAGGAAAATACGTAATTTCATTTCCAACATAGCCAAAATGTTCATAAAATCAACAAACCAAGGTATGGAAAACTATGATAACTCTACCATAACAAACAACATACAACTGCTAATACATCATATAACATACGACTACATGCCTTCCATTACTTCAAACAATTAATACGAAATAAAACGTACGGCCACATGTCCTAGGATAATATAACAACTTGATCATATCATCCACATTATGGTTCAACTTACTTAATCAATAAAACACATCCGATTATTACAATAGCAACCAGAATAGACATCCATTTTTTTCAAAGCGACGCAACTTGGTATTCGTTCATTCATATAGTTTGATCAACCGCGCAATGTCTTCAGCTTCAGGTACGTCCAAATCGGGGATATTCAGCCCCGAAACCACTTCATCTTCATCAAACTCATCGAATTTGTGTGAGCTTCCCCAATTCCTTAATGGTAGATTCAAAGGTTCCAACCAAAAAAAAAAAATCACATCGTCCGAGTTTACAGTTACATAACAATTTACCTTCAGTGTCTTTTGTGGACCCAACGACTTTTATAGAAGCAATATCTTCCGTATCGACAAACGGATTCTTATATCTCAAATCCAACTTCCCATTGGTGCTTCTATGCTTCACCTTCGATGAACTACTAGACATAGCTACTTTAATCGAAGTCTACGACAGTTATGAAAATCATTTAGCAAATTACAAGTAGGTCATTTACTACTTTTATCTAAGGCAACTACATTACTGCTTCGATAAAATTTTCTAAAAATGCAAATTAGAAAATTATCTTTAGCTTACATACCTTCATTTTTATATAATATTTTAATTGCAAATAAAAATTACTTCATAAAATAACTATTGCAATGTGTTTCCAAAATCCACAAAACCCTACATTTTCAAATTCAAATACAAATCAATAACACAAGAAGCAATTGGAACTCTAATACCGAATTGACTAATTTCAAGCAAATTTAACATGAATATCACACAAAATTCACCAATGCATTCCCGCATAAAAATTCTCAAATCGATTTTCTCAACTCGACGCAATCACAAAACTTCAATCACAAACAAAAACTTAGGTTTAACTAGTACTTGAAGTTTGAATTTAAGAACAAAAAGTTTCCTCTTACTTTGTATTGTCCGTCATTGCCGATTTTGGAGGAGTCGCCCGTCGTCGCTGGTCAGTCGAGGTGAAATGCAACCTCAATCTCGATCTCAACCTCAGATATTTTAAGAGTACAAGGCGAGGGCATATAAGTTGTTTCATAAAACATATTCCTAAATATATCAACTTATACTTGCATATAGAACACGTGATTTCTAATTGCCGTTAGTTAACAAAAATTGGGTGTTTTGCGCTAAAATTATAAAAAAACACAGATGTGTTGGGTGCTATTAAAAACATAGGGGGTTTCGCGCTTTTAAAATAAAACACAGAGGTGGATAATGGACTTTACCCTAATAATAATAATGTTATACGAGATAATAAATTAAGTAATAGTAATTAATAAAATAATCAACAACGGGGTGGATTAATGCAAACTGAAAATAAAACCGATATAAGGATATCGTCTGTCTGAATATAAATTATGTCTCGATAGTGCCTCTAGTGATGATGTTTTGTCCCCAATGGTAAACCAATTTTCGTTTTGGTCATTAGGGGCGTCTCAATAAGTTGGAGCTCTGACGAACAAGACTAAGATGAAATCAAATTTTTCCGGAAGACTAGAAAGGCTTGTCAGAATATGGCCGAAAAACTTTTGAAAATGAGAAGAAGATATGAAAGGAGATCAGAGAATGTAACCGATACAAGGATATTATCTGCCTGAATATAAATTATGTCTCAATAGTGCCTCTAGTGATGATGTTTTGTCTCCAATGGTAAAACAATTTTCATTTTCGTCTTTAGTGGCATCTCAATAAGTTGAAGCTCCGACGAACAAGACGAAGATAAAATCAAATTTTTTTGGAAGACTAGAAAGGCTAGTCAGAATATGGCCGAAAAAGTTTTGTAAGGGAGGAGAAGATATGAAAGGTGATCATATTGACTGATCTGACGACAATGAAGGATGGAGGTTTTATATAGGCATTTCCACTTGATCAAAATGATAGAAAATTAATTTACGATCATAATTACAACCTTAACTACCAATATAATTGGTTCCATAATTTACGTAATTCTAAACCTTCAATTTGAGATGATCGTAATTTACATTAATTTCAAATATTTTGTTTAAGATGATCGTAATTTATACTAATTTCAAACATTTTGTTTGAGATTATAATAGATATATTCATCATATATGATTTCATTCAAATAATCGACTTAGGCCATACACTCATATTTAACGTTCAAAACTTATGCCATCGAAAATTCTATTCAAAATATATATTTTATTCAAATTAATTCAATTAATTTAGTTCATGGTGGTCTTGTAGCATTTCTACTCGTTTTTATTCATGATTATCTAAAATTTGCGTTTAATTTTTCAAAATTAAATTTCGGGTGTGTTGGTTTGGAGGTTTGAATTTTGGATTGAGATTTGAATAGTAAAAATATTTAATGTAAATAGTTGTATGGTGTGATATAAATAGGAGTTGATGTGATATAAATAGGAGTTGATGTGATATTTTGAATATAAATTTGATTTTTAGTATAATATAAAAAATAAAAAATAATTGTTTAATTTGATAATTTTGGTAAAAAAGAAAATGAATAGTAAAGTTTGAAAAAAATAAGTGAGATGCATTTTTCCTAGTCCCTTCGTTCCAAGTGGGAATCAAAGAGGAATTCACTCGAAGCAGCGTGATCGTGCTTGTGCTTGTGCTAGCTAGTCCAATCCAACTCCAACAGGAGCCCGAATTCTCTTCCTCGTGCGCGCGCGAATCGCTTGTTACTGTTACTGGAGGTAATGAATTAATGGCTCTTCATCCCAATATAGATGAATTGCTTATCTGTTTTGATTGTAATATGTGCGAGTAGCATGCTGGATTCTCTTGGATGTGGTTGAATCCTATCCTCGGTTATGCACATACGTTGTTCGATGTTTTGCCTCAATCAGAGTGTACACTCAATCTTGAGGTTCTCAGCGTCTATTCTTGATTATTTACTACTACTACTATTATTATTATTTTTTTTTTCTTGTCATATTTTCGCTAAATTTTGAAAGGCATCTTGCTAAGATGATGATGCGGATGCAGCTTAATTGACGTTAGGGTGTAATTTTGATTCAATGTGATGAGGAAGTAGGTGGGTAGTTTGAACCCTTATTTGTCTGGTGTTATAGATCACTAATAAGTCTGCAAATCATCTAATTAAGACTGATACCAGGATCACGTAGGTATTTTCCAAATATAAATATATATATATATATATATTGTAACACCTCGCCTCATACTCAAAAGTGTGTGCATTCATAGAGAATAATTTGAGTTTGCCTAATAAGTGATTGAGAAATTGAGAATAGATTTAGTGAAGATACCATCAAGTTGATCACAGATTGTCAGCTATAAGACCTTGCACGAGTCAACAAGATAATTGAATACCGGACCTTCAAGAGACATATCATAAATGCCAGGACCCCCTCTAGGATTAGAGCATGAATAAAACCCTCTATGGGAGTAAAACAAAACTCTTCATAGGGTCAACAAATTTGGTAGATGACAACATCGGTGGGGATTGGAATGATGATGCCAGCGTGGGTGAGGGTACGCTAGAGTGGCAATGGTGGTGAAAGGGAGACAACAATAAGATCGGTGTTGAGCAGAGAAGACGATGGCAACAGGATCTTAAATGGAGGCAGATGAACCAACAATGTTCTGGCATATATGGAATAAAACGAATTACATGGGTGTTCCCATAAAGAATTTAGAGCTGATATCAAACTGAATTCTCTAATTTATCCATAGGAAATCGTACATATTTATAGTGAGATATTAACCATCTGTATAAGTCTAGACTACTGCAGATCTCCTGAGTAAGACAAGTACTATAACTACAAGATTATTAAATATATATATATATATTGTAACATGTTGGACTGTGTTATTCGGTGCAGGAATTGGGGGAAGAATGACGGTAAGCATAGAAGGAGAGAAGGTGATACTGGTGCCATACATGAAAGAGCATGTGGCCAAGTACCATGTATGGATGCAAGACCCTGCCATTCTAGAAGCCACTGCCTCCGAGCCTCTCACGCTCGATCAAGAGTATGAGATGCAAATATCGTGGGTTCAAGATCCCCTCAGTGAGATTGTTTTCTTACTCTTTAAAACCATACAGTTGTTTGATTACATGCTTGAATATTGAATTTTGTGCGTGTTAGTTTGTCATATACATAATTTTCCTTAGTGTGTTTTTTTTTTTGGTTAAATTTATTCCCTATGGAGAGAATAATTTATGAAATTGTTTCTCTTTTTACAGAGCACACTTTTATAATTCTGGACAAAGAATTAGTTATTGGAGACTTTATTCATGGAGAATCCCACAATGAAGGTCATTGTTCTGCAACATACTCTTTGAATTTAATTTTCATTTGGCCCTTGATAGACAGAGTGATGGCCTTTCTGCTTGTAGTTATGAATTGGGTCCTTTTGCTTCATGTGAATCAATCTTCACGCTAAAAGTTTTCATCAGTTTTTTTCATTACTTTTGCATTCTCTATTTTGTATGGAAAATGGTAACTGGCCTTTTCTCTGTTTCTGCCTTCGACATGGCTGTTCTCAGATAATAGTGAAGGCCTGATGCTTAGTGCAAGTTTCGGATTCCTGAAAAGTTTACTTAGTTCGAAAAAAGGGCTTGTTCATGGTGTGGTTGTGAAACTCTCCATTAGAATTGGAATAATCAAATTTTATAAATTGTTGAAAACTATATGAGTTAATATTCTTGTTGGGTGTAATACAAAATGCTTTTGTGCATTTAAATTCATTACGTTACATCATACTTATTTTTCTGTGTATTTTTCAGCCATGGTTGGTGATGTAAATATATTTATGAATGATCCGGAGGATCCTGAATTGGCAGAAGTAGAAATTATGATTGCTGAACATAAGAGGTATCTGCTTTTGGTCATCTATCGAAATGTGATTTTTGGACTTATAAGCCATCTCAGATTGTTCCTTTCTTTTTATTTTTTATTTTTGCATGTTTCTTTGTATTCTAATTGATTATACAAAAATATCTTTATATTCAAGTTACTATATTGGAGTGGGCATTTCCACACACCCCTTTACCATTAGTTCTGCAAGGGTAAATTGCTACTTGCTGAAGAAAAGAAAAAGGGCACCAGTAGGAGTGGGATTTTTTGCAATAAAATACTAAGTAGACATCAATATTTATGCATACTGAAGTACTTCCTTTGTTACAGAAGATCAGACAATTGCATATATGATGAATAAGAAATTGGCTGCAAGTGAAAATAACTTTACTGTAGTTTCCATTTTTATTTTCGGTTGTACTTGTTTGGAATGCTACTTCCTTTTGTATATTCGAACTTATAAATCCTATGGATTCATTATTTTGTTTTGTTTAATTTTTAAATTATCTAATTATATGTATTGTTATAAAATCACTTTTCATTTTGTAAAGTCAACTTCATGTTTTTGGCATATTTACTAATCCAGCATCTTAGTTGAGTCTGATTAGCATTTCTTTTGACAGTCGTGGAAAAGGACTAGCAAAAGAGTCTGTTACGCTCATGATGGCATTTGCTGTTCAGAAGTTTGGCATCCACATCTTCCAAGCCAAAGTAGGAGAATCAAATGAAGCTTCTCTTAGTCTATTTCATAAATTGGTAACCCTTTCCCCCCCACCCCACCCCCCCCCCCCCCCCCCCCTCTGGTGTTGAACATTCATTCATTTAATGTCTATTTCCAATCCTCCAACACACTCATACCTGCATTTACGTTCATACTTAAATTCAGTAATGTTTTTATAATGATGGTCAGATTTTATTCTTTCTTTCAGGGATTCAAGGAGATCTCTCATAGCAAGATATTTAAAGAGGTGAGCATATTTTCATCTCTAGCTTCCTAATACACTAAGTGGTTCTTTCATATCTTTCTGCTAGATTCTTCCAAAAGTCAATCATAAGATTTTCTTGGTTAATCATTTTATACTAGTCGATCAAAGTGCAGGTGTCTACTTTTGAAAATTTCGTGATGCCCATCTGAGGAATGTAATGGTCAATTGATCTCATGAGGGAGAGGTCGATTCATAGGAGTAAATTATGTATTCCCAAGGCTACAATGACAAATTTTATACAAAAAAGTTGGGGGAAAGCTAATTTTCTTGTCATATGATAAAATGTAAGGAAATCAAGCTGCCCCAGGGGTGGACTATTAAAAATAATAACCTTGTAATGATGGCGCACTTTTTTTTTTTTTCCTTTCTTTTTTCAAGATATACATATATATAAATATATATTAGTGGTGACTTTTATGAAATGAATATAGTGGTAACTTTTTATGGTAGTTTGTGTTCACCAGTCTAAGTTGATGTTAGAAGTTTGATGTAGGCTTCATAACCTGGTCAATTTGATTTTAATAATGTCATTTTGGTTTTCTGCAGATTACACTGGAATTGCCAGTAACAGAGGCCAAGAGTAAAGAACTGCATCAATTAATTGGATATGCTGTTATGCATTCGTGACAATTATTCTTGAGGCTTGTTTAAATATGTATAGACAAAACAATATTCACTTTATGAATATTCGGCTTGACAACAAACTAATCTTGTGTTAGCTAAATACCTGGTCTCATTCCAATGCTAATTTTCTTTGTATTATTTCATCTTTGAGTAGAACAAGTGCAGGAGCTATAAACTTCACGTGGCAACTATTCTGTTACACATTTTTAGAAAATTATTTCTTCGGGACCTTTGAAGCAAGTGAGAATTTTTATGTTTTAGTAGTGGGATACTGGAAATTGCTGATATGCTGAAGTTAAGGGGATGGTTGAAACTTGTCGCCACTCAAAAGGTCAAATTTCAGTATTACAACAACTTATACGGCTGCATTATCATCAGGTAATTTAAGTATTCTGGTACAATCTAAAGTCAGTCAATTCGTATGCTCTCAAGTCCAGTAAAAAAGCACTGTAACATATTATTGTGATTTTCTCTAAGCTGAATAGAAATCTATTTTCCCCACTGATTGAAGGTTCGAAGGAAAGGTTGCATGCATCTGAGGAACGTTTCCAGAAACCGAACTTCCTGCTTGCCATACATGATTGACAACACTACCATTTTTCAGTGGCCCCACAGTAGCATATATTGTCATCACATTGTTTGCATATTCTGCTGATATATTCGAAACAAGAAAACTAAGTTTCTCTGGCAGCATTGAAGGGTCGTAGCTCTTTATGGATGTTGGATAAACGATCATTCTTCCGTCGGCATTATGGAAAGCAACCAAAGCTTGTGATCCGATCATGCCAGGCCTTGTGGGGTTGATCCCCCATGCAATCCATCCCGTTGGAACTTGTTTTGCCCTGTAAGCTATCGAAACCTTTTCATGGGATGGAACGTAATTCCAGTAAAGTTGAGCACCTAAATGTCGAAGATCCACACAGGATTTAAACACTCTTTTGTGTAAGAAAGTGGTGTGGGAGCATTTTAGAGCAGAGGAAATGGCAAAAACTGAAGCAAGAAGACTAACAAGGAATTTGAGCACAGAAACTGCAGCCATGAGGTACCCCTCTTTCTCTCTTTGTCTATATATATATATGTGTGTGTGTGTGTGTGTGTATAATTTTATTTGTTAGATAGCTATAGCCCTATGACAGTGCTAGAACTACTACTAATTGAATTATGTTTGGAATATCTATGAATTTTTCTGCAAATTGGGATTTATATTCCTGAAATGTTGGGTTAGGAAGCAATAAGATGAGGAGAAGATAAGTAATATAAGTGATGAATAGTTTTGAATTAGGTATGCAGCAGTTTAATAGTTGATTCAGAGCTGATAAAATTATTTTCACATGTTTACTTTGGTGGACAAAGTCCTTTATTAGTAACCTCAATGATGGCATAATTAATTAGCTAGTAATATGTGGGATAAGATCGAATAATTTTCAAAAATAATTCATGAAATCATTATTTCATCCTTGAAATACTCTGGGTTAAGGGGGAATTAGGTTTTGGCATGTAACTACTTGTATTTGACCTTTAGTTTAGCATTGTAAGAAATATGTGCATTGGTATTTAATCCCATTTTGTTGTAATGGTGTATAATGTATATGATATGGTTAAGCCGGGAATTAGGTTTTGGCATGTAACTACTTGTATTTGGCCTTTATTTCTAGATATAAGGTTGTTTTTGGTTTGTATGTCATTTGTGTTTTGTTTTTGCATAGTGATGTGGTGTGCTGTTTTGTGAGGGAACAGTGTATTTTTCTTAGGGAACATGGGACTACTTAGTAACGAAATAGAGAAAAATTGCTATAAGAAGAAAAGCCTAAATGTTTATCAACTTTAGTCAATCTCTTGTATAATTCTTCCTTTGATATGAACATCATATGGGGCCTGTTTGGTTGTATTATGGATATTTCTGTGTTTTTGTTTGAGAAATTTTTGAATAAGCAGTGACCATTGGATGATGTTTTGGATGTGATATTCTTTTAGGAGAAACTATATTTTAGTCAGAAACTTGGTAATCCATGGCTTTTATGTATTAGTCCGAGGCCCCAACGCTTAAACCTTCTACCTTTGCATTAGAGTTGGCAATTGGTCGATTCGTGTCGGGTTGAATACTTTAAACGGGATAAATTATTCAACCCTAACCTGACCTGTTTATTATCGTGTCGGGTCTGTATTGATTCGATTATTATCGTGTCGGGTTCGTGTTAGCTTGTGTTGACCCGTATATATAGTTAAGTCGAAATCCTTGAAAATTAAATTATTTTTTCGTGTTATGTTAGTTTTTATTAGTTTGAACATAATGTAATGTGTACAATAAATTATGTTGAATTATTTAAAATTGAGCTTAGTATAAATTAATATATAAGTAAATTATTAAATTATAATTATTTTATATAATATAATAGATATATTAATCACTATTAATATATTATAATCGGATTGTCACGTCCGATTCTAGTTGAGAGCCTCAATCCTAATCCGACCCGTTTATTTTCGTGTCGGATTCATGGTAATCCGTATACATAATCGGGTTGAAATATTTGACCCAAACTCAATTATTTCGTGTCGGGTTGTCATGTAGGGTAAGTTTTTGCCAGCTCTACTTTGCATTCCATCCCAAGTTCTCGCGACCTCCGGCCCTTTGAATTGCATTTGGAGGCCTTGCAACCTGCCAAACAAAAAATTTGGGGCACGCAAAGGTCATAATGCAGCCCTCTCTAGACTTTCCGGAAGAGAGCCCCGCAAGAGCAATCATGGTCTCTTGAAAAAATTGGTCGGTCATCGACAACTAGTCGGTCTCTGCCTCTAACAATGATTTTCCAACAAGGGGTACAACATGCCCATTGGCTGCTAATATTAGGCCACATTTTTCACTCCGAAAGAGAGCATAAATTGCTTAACATGAATAGGAGCTCGCAATGGAGTCAGGACTAGCCCATAACGACTGTTGACACCGGCTAACGATTCAAAATGAATTGAGGTCGAGGTAGCAACAAGAGCAAAACTTTTTCGAGAACATTCGAAGCAACACTATAGGTGTGCAACTGAGTCTCCAAACCAGATACGGAAGACGAGCCAAAGATAATTGCTTTGGGAGAGGACTATTTGTCCTAAGTGAGCCTGGATGTTGTTGCAATTGATCACTATTTAGGCGATTTTACAGTCAGTATGATTGAATTCTTATCGAAGAAGATCTTGGCCCCTTGTGGGCATCCACGATGTCAGTAGGGCGAAGTTGGGGTGAAAGAGGTCAGTCTTGCGATGTTAGCCGACAATAAGGTCAGTACAACACAACCTCCCTAAACGTGTTTCCATTTTTAATGACGCTGTAAGAGGCTGAGCCCGGTCCGAAGGTAACCTAACAATTTGAAATTCAAAGTGTGCACTAAGGCTGACTTACAGCTTGGATCCCAAGTGTCTCGTGATGACGAGCAATGTAAGAACAGATCGAGTTACACTAGTTATAAAAATATTGGATCTTCCTGAAGAATCCAATCCATTCGATTAGAGGCATTCATTACCATCGTCTTAAAACGCCTCGGATCAAAGAAGCCCTACATGAACTAAAAATTGGTCCAGCCGTTAAAGGGAACCCGATTGCTTCAGAAACCGGTTCAACCGCTAAGGACAAAGCTTGAGGCAACGAGCGAAGCCCGGCCACCCTTAAAAGCATTATATAAATTAAATATAATACAAAGAGAAAAAATCACTTCACAATTTCACATACTTGTAAATAGCAGCAATGTATTTGGTATATACACATAGGGTAGTTTTCTCGATGCCTTTAAACTATATACTTTCATTTACTAATTAATCAATGAAAGCAACTATATGTAAGTAAGAAATGACCTGAAAATACAGGAGTGAATTCATAACTATAAAATAATGAATTCAAATATCTATAATATTAAATTAAATATCTATTATTTTCTTTGTTCACTCTTCAAACACTGTTCACCTTTAGAAACTATATGCACCATCGTATCTATCTACCTTTAAAAACTTTACACACGATTTTGTCTATTCATCTTTAAAACAATGACGGTAATTAGGATGTTGATTAGATCAACAATCTAATTGCAAAGCAAATAACATATAGTATATATATAATCACATAATGTTGTGTTGTATAAAAGTATGTATTGTCTAATTTATATATTGTATTGTATTATATAAATATGTTTATTGTGCTTAATATCAATAATACATTGTATTTCCTCCGTCGCTTAACAATATATCAACTTGTCTTTTGCATCATTTTACTTAACATTAAAAATGTCCTTATATTTGTATAATATATTATACAAATATTATTGCATTTGTTTTATAGAATACTAATAAAGATATTTTATTTTTTATATTTTAGTTTGTACTACATATAATTATAATATTAATATTTAAAGTTCAATATCAAAAAAATAAATGGATACATAGTTTACGTATTGTATATTATATTATCATGTATTGTCAGAATATATATAGTATATTGTATTATTCACGTGTGGTCATTTATATATTGTCTGTTATATACATATCCTAATTGAGTCAAATCAGCATAAAAATAGTAACAATTATACTTATATTATAAAATTTTAGGTTGTGTTTTAGATTTAAAAAATTCTTAATGAAAAATAATAAATTATTGATGTTAAATAAATAAATAAAAATAATAATTACGGAATGTTATATCTTTTAGTAGTTATTGTTTTTATTTAATATTATTTTTTAAATAGTAGATTATGTATTGCAAGAAGAAGGAAAAAATATATATATTAATACAACCTTAATAATTAGCATAAGCATCAAGCCTGCATTTATAATTATAGCATAACCTTAATAGTTAGCATAAGCATGCCTTTATAGTTTAAGGATGTTTTCATTGTAAGGTACGAGAAATCACAAAAGTAGTATAGAGAATAATATTTTGTATACTTTTGTTAATTTTTATTATTGTATTGTATTTTTTAATAAATACTACCTCCGTGCGATTCATATTTATTTTTTGCGTGTTGATATTTGAATATTAATTATTATATCAAAACGTAGTACAAATTAAAAAAAAAAATTGCAAAAATACTTCTATTAGTGTCTTATAATACTATTATAATGACATTTGTATAAAATATTATACAAATATAAAAATATTTTTAATGTTAAGTACAATAACGCAAAAGGTAACTGAGATCCTTAAAGCCGGACGGAGGGAGTAATAGGAATAGTATACATTGATGAACAGACTTTGTAAATATATATAACTGCTCGATCAATATGGCCAAGAATTCGAACACATTGCAAAATCATATGTAGGAGTCCTTTTATTTCGATGAAACTACAAAAATTCGACTAGCTAAAAGAATAACAAACAAATCTAAGTACACTATACTACTAAGCATTCGAGGTGTTTCTTTCACCACCCGAATCGGGGAACTCTCTACGCACCCTTATTCACCTTAACTAAGCACACAATTTTTTTTTGTGGCTTTATTACAACTTGACATACTATGTATTGCATACATATACATATATATATATATATATATATGAAAGCTAGGCATGTATTTATTTTAATTAGGCAGCAGGCTCACCACAAGATTGGAAAAAGAGTTGGCCGCTAAGTTTAGGTTGCACATTTTTGCATTCGGATAGAGCCTCGGATCCGTTGACTCCTTGGTAGGTGAAGTTGATGTCACTCAACTCGACATTCTCGCACGGTATTCCTTTACTACATTTAAGTTGCACGGCCAATTGGCTTGCTGATGTTCCCCGGATGTTTTTGAAGCTAATGTCACTCAGCTTCACGGTAGACGGGTTCTAAAATCACAAAAAATAAATAAAAATAAAGAAATCTCGTCTTGTCAGTGAAATCATAGATATGCATAAGTAGAGAATAATAAAAAGTTAAAAGAGTACATAATGCAATATTTTATGATAGAGAAAAAAATAATATTTGATGTAATAAGTTACTGTAAATAGCCAAAACTTTGAAAAACGACCGTGTAAAGGTAATAGAAATTGAAGGACAAAATCGGGAGGTTACCTTTGATGTGCAATGGTTGTAAGGACAATACTCTTGATCGATCAAGATAGGTGTGCTCACGTTGTTTATGTTAATGTCCTCGAAATGCAAGGTTCGAGCGACACCGGGCTTAGGATTCCCGGGCCATGTCTTGACTCTGACCCCGTTCATTGTGCTTGTGATGGTGCAATTTCTTACCGTTATGCCAACAACGGGTTCTTCGTTCTGGTACCTACCTAGGCTTCCAATCGAAATGCCGTGTCCGGGTGGCCCGCAAGTGACCTTCTCGATGTTCACTTGTTGGCTCCCGTCACCGATGGAGACACAATCGTCCCCGGTCTTTATATCCGCCATAGAGATGTTCACCCCGCTAGAACGGCCTATGTGAATACCGTCGGTGTTCAAACTATGGTCCGGCGCTGAGATCTTTGTGCCGACGAGGGTTAGGTTTAGGCAACCCAAAATGTTCATGTGGAATTGCTTGCTATCAATGGATTGTACGTCTTGGAGTAGAGTATTTGTGAGCTTGTTCAAACTCAGATTCTAAATCAAAATAAAAAAAAAATTAAAAAATATATGTATAGTATAATCGGCAACAAACTTATGAACTCTTTGCTTCAAGGTCATATTCTAATTCGAAACGAGTGATATAGAAAAAGAAAAAAAATTATTTATCATGATTATGATTAGAGCGGTGAAATAAAGGAACTGCTCACAAGATTAAACTTTTATGAATTGGTAAAAACTCATTCGCTAGACTAAATAAGCTAATTTGATCTTAGTTCGTTTTGTTCACAAACATTCAACAATGTTGGCTAGAATACTAAATTAATATTTTTATATTTGATAAATATATATATATGTATAGTTTTTTAAAACAAATTTACTGATAAATAAAAAGTATTATTTATAATTGAATTTAAACTTAAATAAAATAAAAATCATAAAAAGTTTGGCTCAATTTAACTTGTTAGTAGCTGTAAATATGATCCTCTAGTGATGAATAATTTATAAGAAGAAACTTACGATAGGAATAGATCCACACTTTCCGGTCTTTGCGCAATCGTTTTGTTTCCATGCAAGCTCCCCTTTGCCATCGAAGGATCCTCCGATCATAGTTAATGCATTTATGGTTTGAAATTGGAACCACGAATTCTGTGATTTAAACAATTGGGGATCCTCCGGGGCCACTAATTGGGCACCCGTCGCTTGAATAGTGACGGGAGCTTGACACGGCCCCTGGATCTTTGTCGGCCCAACCATATAATTTCCTTTCGGGATAATGACTTTGCTCGGCGACGTGCTCTTGCAAGCTTCTTGCCACGCATTTGATATCGCCTTAGAATGAACAATATTATAGTATATGATTAACCATTTACTCCTTAAATGTATGAACAAATGTTATGCCACATTTTAATAAAAATATATAATAATTGTACTTTTTTTTTTTTAATTTTTTATAGTAAAAAAATATAAAAAATAGTACTTTTTCCGCCTCAAAATTATAGTTTAGGTTGTATTCGGCACGAGAGGATAAAAAGTAATGGTAAAAGACTTTTTTGCCCTTGTGAGTGTATTAGTGTAAAAAGTAGTAGCTTGTGTAATAATAATGAAAAAGGAAGGATAGTTTTATAGTGATATGATTATTTATAAAAATGAGACTATTGTTTTGGGAGTGCCAAAAATGGTAAACAATACTATTATACTTAGGATGGAGAGAGTATAATTTTTACTAAAAATATAAAAATATTTTTTATGACCATGTGAAAAGGACAATAAATTTAAATTTTGGATGATATATATATATTTAAATAAAATCGATGAATAGTATAAATTTATTTAGAAACATATATGTAAACAAATAGAATTTTTAGTAATCTTTACCACACTGTCGTCGGACTTGCCATCGGCCTTGGCCCCGAACTTCATGATGTCGTAGTCCGTCGCATGGTTTGGCGCCACCATGGCCATGAATATTATCAATAGCATAACTTCCATTTTTTTCTTTTTTTCTTTTTTTTTTATATAACTTTTTTTTTTTTTTTTAATTTAGACAAAAAATTATTCTTGTGTCTTATTGTTATTATTATTCTGTATGAATGTGTAAATGTTGGCGTTTGGGTGTGTGTTTATATAGGAAGAATGAAGGGTTAAGATGCCCTGAAAATTCTATGAATTTGTGGAGCAACGGTGTTTGTGTTTTTTCACACTAATTATGGAGTCACATAATATTTTTTTTTTCTTTTTATTTTCAACTATTTATAGTAATAAGTTGTTACTAATCTACTGACTTCAGTTAATTTTAGACTTTTCTAAATTCAATTATAACAAAATATTTATATTCAAATTATTATTTAAATTAAAATTTAAAAATAAAATGAAATCGACTAAGTCATCCTATTATTGGGAGAAAATGTAGTTTTTTTTAGTTTAATTTATTTGCTTTACTAATTTATAGAAATATTAATGATGATACGTATAACTTGTCATGGACTTGAAATTCGGTTTGGTTGGGGAATGAAATGTTTAATGTGATTGAGTTAAATCATAATATATATAAGTATTTGATTAATTTTAAATAAATTTAAAATGTATATTAAAATATTTGTTTTATAAAAAATGTTAAAATATAAAAAAAATATATTTGTTTATTTTAAAAAATTGAAATAAATTATTATAATCAGGTTCCTATTTAAAAATATTAAAGATTTAAAAATTGAAAACATATAATCTAAGACATAAATTTGTTGATTAAATTAGAATGAATTTTCCTAGTTTTATGTAAAAAAATTATATGATTCTGACATTTTCCAAATGGATTGCTCTTATTTTATTTCAAATATAATTTATATATATATAAATCAAGACCACTGTTTGTTACGGTGAAATTAAATTTTAAAATAAATTTGAAATGAATAAATTTGAATTAGTTCAGCTAGGTTTACGAAGACATTTTTGTTAGTGTAAGTAAATGAAAAAGAAATGAGAAAAAGAGTTATCCTATATGCTAAAAATATAAGTGTCCATATTATATCCCTATTAAGATTAAAGAAAAATTAGATTTGATTGGATTGGACATTGGATTAGGCGTAGCCTTATTTGGACTTAAACTTGACAATATTTTTTTTTGACCATTAAATGTCAAGATTTGGACCTCGGGTTTATAGGCTAAACCCAAATGTTTAAAATCTAATTAATTTTAATTATATATTTATATGATTAATTTATTTTGATCCGCAAAATTACAACCATTAGATATAATATTACGGTTGCAACTTTTTTTTTCTTTTTTTCTTTTTTTTCAGAAAATTTTCTGCAAAAACTCTCTCGTTAGATTCTTCATAAAATTCTCTACAAAAACACTCGTTATCACCGGCCAAATACATAACTGTTCTTGGAGAAATCGTGGAGGAATTAAGGAACAACCGAACTCTATAGAAACTTGCCTGCAAGAAACCTTTCTGAAATTCACAAAATGCGAGAATCAGCCCAAGAAGTCTATTATTTGAGTAAAAAAAAGTCTTATCTTTTTTGTACTAGACTTGTCGTGGGAAATTTTATGAAAGCATAACCCAAAGATTTTCTCGGAAAAAAGCCCAAGAGAAGAAAATATGTATGTATATTGTATATATATTGAAAAATTATTATATCGCGAGAATATAAAAAAATTATCGAAAAATAAAATTCAATAATTAAAACAAAATATCGAAATAAATTTGATATCAATATAACTTATCAAAATGAATTCGATATCAATAATAATTTATCGAAATAAATTCAATAATTACGTCGAGTTGCTTGTGGCTTACCGGCATTCATATGCCTAACCATTATACAACCCCCGTGCATTTTTATTCACCGAATAATCAGTTTCGAAAATTATAAATTTAATTCAAAATTAATTTCCATCGATCAAATACTTAACCGATTTTCCAACAATCTTCTACATGAGTGGAAATGTTCACTTATAAGGATAACACACAACTCAGTTCCAGAGACATTGACACATCGAGATAAGTAGCTTGTGACTTTAAACCTTCCTTAGTCAATATTAATGTATGTACTGGTGGCCTAGTTGACACGGTGCATTAAATTTATTCCACTTTTGTATACATTTTAGTCAATAATATTGGTATATCGCTATTTCAACCTCGTTTTGTTTTCACATTTTGATCCGTTTCCGTCATGGTTCACATCTTCGGATTCATAAGTGTTTCATTTGAAACGACTCTCACTTCACACTTATATAGGTAATCTTATCTTAAAGTATTCAGTTCTACTTTTAAGATTATTAAGAGTCAAGTGACTCAACCTCACAACATTGCACTTCGTAACACTTGTAGTTCTTTTAGAAAATAGTCGTCGAGTGTTTGTGACGAACTATTACAGCTTAGTTTTTTCATTGAACCTTAGACTTGGGATTTCCAAGTGATTTGGTTAGGCTACTATAATAATTGTCTCTTAATTTGTGAATTTCAAATCCATTCCTTTTAGTAGTTTATACATTTTATCACGATATAACACTTTGGTTAGCGGATCCGCAAGCTTTTCTATTGACCTATAATTAACATTAATAACCCCACTAGTGATCAATTGTCTCACAGTGTTGTATCTATGTCAAATATGTTGTAATCTACAATTGTAAATTTTATTATTAGCCTTTGTTATTGCAGCTTAGCTATTACAATATATCACTACCGGATATATTAATTTTTTTCCAAAATGGATTGGGTTGTACAAGTTTGTTTCGTGGACTTCCACCAAAAATTGTCACCTCCGATCATATAGACATATCCACTTGTAGACAACGAATATTTCGTGTCAAATATCCTCTTAACATCACAATACCCTTTAAGCATTTGATGATATCTCGTGTAGTATATGCCAAAAAGTTAAAACATATATTTTAAATACCTCAAAACTCTTACGAGCTTTACATAACCTACCATTTTTTCCGCAACTTGCTTGGGAGGCGGTACTTATATTCTAGTTAGGCACACCCCCGCACCTCAAATATTTGTACGAAGGTTTCTTGCCTTTCTACAATTTATAAGGAGTTTTATCCTTATCTTTAAGTGGAATTTTATTCATAATATAATTTTAAATTAGAATTGCCCCCTACAATTTTTAGGTAATCCTTAATAAATCAACAAGACATTTATGCGTTCGTAATGTCATTCGATTATGGTGAGTATGATGTCGTAGTCTGATGAATTATGTCACATAGCTTTTCACACAGAGCTATACTGTAGTACCCTCAGACTTGGTCCGGTGCTAGGCCAACTCCCATGGATTAGTCGGTGTCAGGTCATCCAAGAGTAAATAGAGATTAAATGGATTGAATAGACTACTCATGTTAACAAAACATTCCTTTTCAGAAATCCTAGAGTTAAGCGTATTTGCCCTAGAATAATTTGAGGATGGGTGACCCCCTGGGAAGTCTCTCATGGTACGCGTAAGTGAGGACAAAAACACGCTGAAAGGACTTGTGTTGACCTGTAGAGTTAGTCTACGATCTCGACACGCCCGGCTTTGCAGGCCAGGGTGTCACATACATATTCACCTCTCCAATAACTTCGAACTGACTTAATATTACAGCTCTGGTGATTCTCTGCCTTTTTTTTTTTAAGACATTATTACTTCTCTTTTATTTTCTTCTTAACATGTAAACATAGCAATATCTTGTGCAATTATTTATAAAAGTGATGAAATATTTTTTCCACCTTAAGTTTGCATATATTTTTAAATTACACATATAAGTGTGAATCACATTCAATGGCTTCGTGTGTGTGTGTGTGTTTTTTTTACTAAAGAAAATAGTAATTTAGCTATTTTTTCTTCATCCAAACGTCACACTTAGTTTGAGTGTTTACTTCTTTAATATTTAGTGATTTGAAATTTATTAATTTTTTATAGCATTTAGATTAGCATGTCCCAATCTATTTAGTTTGAGTGTTTACTTCTTTAATATTTAGTAATTTGAAATTTATTAATTTTTTATAGTATTTAGATTGGCATGTCCCAATCTATAATGTCATAAATTAAAATACTTAGAACTTTATTTTATTTTTTTTGACTGGCATCTGTCGACATAACGTAAAGGTCGATGCTATTCGAGTTTACATTCAAATTTTCAACATCTATAATGTTGGAAATTTGATTCGAAGGACGATATTCTCGCAATATATCAACTTATTCATTTTTGCGATTGTTGAAATATTATTATATCGCGATAATATAAAAAAATCAAAAAATAAAATTTGATAATCAAAATAAAATATCGAAATAAATTCGATACCAATATAACTTATCGAAATGAATTCAATATCAATGATAATTTATCGAAATAAATTAGATAATCACGTAAAGTCGAGGTAGAACCTCTCTCCGCAAAAATAAATATGCCCCGGTAGTGCCTCTGTTTTGTGACGTAGCGTTCCCAAAGATAAACAATGTTGATCTCCGAATTAGGTGTCACCTCAATATTTCGGAGCTCCAGTGAACTAAAATAAGTTGAATTCTAGCTATGACGGGAGGCTTGAATAGAAGTGCAAGTTGTTAGGATATGAAGTCTGATTATATCCTAAAATCTAGGATATGATTTAGATATGATTTGGATATTATATCCAAGATTAGAGATATGATTTGGATATTATTGACATAGGCCTACGCTATAAATATCCATGTATTCTCACTTTTACTTGTGCTCTGTGTATTATATAATAGAATTCCTAACTTGGCAGCGCCCCCAGACGTAGTTCATCCTGATTGAACTGAGTAACTAAAATTCTTATGTTCTTGTGCTTTTTTTTTTTTTTGCATTTTCTTGATTCCCTGAACTTTCGCAACAACTGGTATCAGAGCCCTCGGTTATTTTGAATGGGAGTCAAGATTGGTGATAGTCTTCCTGTCAAGGTATTCGATAGAATGAACTTCGGTTTCTAAAAGATGCAAAGATTACTTGTATGGTAAAGATCTAAATGCGCATTAAAGGAGAA